GGCTGGGTGAAGTGGAGAGATGGCCCCAATATCACCTGCTACAACTGCGGTCAGAAAGGGCACCGGGCTCGTGAGTGTCGAAGTGCGAGTAGCAGCAACAGCAAAGACCAGAGACAGTGGTGCAGTTTTTGCAAAAATTCCACACATATAAGGGACTGAAAAGCGGGTCGGACGAACTAATTTGAGCTACTTTAGTTCCTGGGGCTTTTTGGTGTGAACGCAAATATATCGTAGTTCTGATGAACTATTGTGGGAAAAGTACACCAAAGTACTCCGGTGTGAACGCACCTATAGATGCAAACTGCAGACGCAAAGAGAGAGACAATGCTAAACAAGCAACTGACGTTGAGGACCACTCATTTGTTTTTAAAGTACGTGACAGTCCAGTAACCGGAGTTACACATAAAGGGCTGATGGTTGACACCGGAGCAACGTCACACATAATAACGAAGATCGACAAGTTTAAAAGGTTCGATGAGACTTTTCACCCGAAAGACCACTTTGTTGAATTGGCTGACGGGACAAGAACAAGTGGTGTCGCTTTGAAGAAAGGAGAGGCGGAGGTCTGCCTGCAAGACACGGAGGGACGACGAGTGACAGCGATGCTGAAGGACGCGCTCGATATACCGTCCTATCCACAAGACATTTCCTCTGTTAAAGCAGCGACAGCCAACGGAGCATCAGTGAACTTTCGTCAGGGTTGTAACCAGCTGATTCACCAGAGAGGTAAAATATTTGACATCAAGGAATATGATAGACTTTATTTTTTAAACACTGTGGACTGTGAAGCTGAGGACGATGCATGTTATGGATGTTATGACATTCAAACATGGCATGAAATACTTGGTCACTGTAACTATGATGATGTGTCACAACTGGAAAAAGTCACTGAGGGGATGAAAATTAAGGGTGGGATTGATAAATCTAACCTTAACTGTGAAGTGTGTACTCGAGGTAAATTTGCTCAAAGTAGGAACAGACAACCAGATGCAAGAGCTAAAGCAGCGCTCAATCTTGTGCACACTGATTTAGCAGGTCCCATTGAGCCAGAGGCTAAGGAGGGATTCAGATACACATTGGCTTTTACAGATGACTTTTCAGGGGCAGTATTTGTGTATTTCCTAAAAGCTAAAAGTGATACTTTCAAAGCCACAGAGAAATTCATTGCTGATGTCGCACCTTATGGTAAAATCAAATGTATAAGGTCTGATAACGGTACAGAATTCACCGGGACAAACTTTCAATCGCTCCTTAGACAACATGCAATACGACATGATACTTCAGCACCTTACTCACCCCATCAAAATGGGACAGCTGAGAGAAACTGGAGAACACTTTTTGAAATGGCAAGATGCATGCTTCTTGAGAGCAATTTACCAAAGAAGCTATGGACATATGCCGTCATGACTGCAGCTGTAATACGTAACAGATGTTACAACAGACGTGTAGGATAGACGCCTTATTATATGCTGACAGGACGTAAGCCGAACCTCTCGAAAATGAATATATTTGGATCTGTATGCTATGCATACAAGCAGGAAAAGAAAAAGTTAGACTCGAGGTGTGAGAAGGGTATTTTTGTAGGGTATGATAAAAACAGCCCAGCATACCTAGTCTACAACCCAGACACTGGTAGTGTTCGAAAACACAGGCAAGTGAAGTTTGTCACAAAAAGTATAGTCGAGCGACATACACAGACTGATTTTGAGGCAAGTGATGACGATTTTTATGAGAAAAGGTTTGTATCCACCAAGCCAGAAACCCAGGGGACTGACTCGTGTCCAAAAGAGACACAGGAGGCTCGAACTGAGACAGATGACACAAACACTCAGACAGGAAAGGGAGCAGAAGGTCAAAATAGAAGCTATCCCCAAAGAGAAAGTACGAGACCTCAGTATTTAGAGGACTATGAATGTAAAGTACAGTGTGACGACCAGAAGTATGTAAATATTGACTACTGCTACAGAGTAATGTGTAATGTACCAAACACCTTTAAAGAGGCCATGAATTCAGCAGAGTCAAAACTCTGGACTGATGCTATGCAGGAGGAAATGAATTCTCTTAAGGAAAATGACACATTCACATTGACCACACTACCAGAGGGCAAAAATGCAGTGGGGGGTAGATGGGTCTATACAATCAAAGAAAACACAGAAAAGACTGAGATATATAAAGCCAGATATGTTGCAAAGGGATATAGTCAAGTGGCAGGAATAGACTATAAGGAGACATTTTCCCCGACTGCAAACATGACATCAGTACGAAGCTTGATGCAACTGGCAGCTCAACATGACTTACACCTACATCAGATGGATGTTAAAACTGCATATTTACACGCTCCAATTGATTGTGAGCTCTATGTGCAGCAACCTGAAGGTTTTGAGGTCAAGTCAGACACAGATGAAAAGCTAGTCTGCAAGCTGAATAAATCACTGTATGGGTTAAAACAATCTGGAAGAAACTGGAATAAAATGTTGCATGATCATCTCTGTGAGAACTGTTTTGCACAAAACTCAGCTGATCACTGTGTCTACAGTAAAGGAATAGAAAATGAGAGGATCATTCTGATTATTTGGGTGGATGACTTACAGTAGTTATCGCAGCTAATGATATTCACACAATTAATACTGTGAAAGAAATGTTGAGCACAAAATTCAAAATGAAGGATCTTGGGAAACTTAAACATTTCCTAGGCATTGACTTTACTCAGGAAAAAGGAGAAATAAAGATGGGTCAAAAAGAAATTCATTACAAAAATACTGGAAAAGTTTGGTATGAATGACTGTAAGCCAAGGTCCACCCCATGTGAACAGAAACAAAACTTTGATGATGATGGTGAAGCTGTTGATGCAACACAATATCGTGAAGTGGTAGGCAGCTTAATATATTTAATGACATCTACACGGCCTGATCTAAGTTGGATAGTCAGTAAACTGTCACAGTATTTTTCAGAGCCAAAAGAACAACACTGGTTAACTGCTAAACATGTATTGAGGTACTTAAAGGGCACAATTAATCAGGAGCTATGTTTTAAACAACAAGATGAAAAACTGAAACTTGTTGCATACTGTGATGCGGATTGGGCAACAGACCAAAATGACAGACGGAGTATAACAGGGTACTGTTTTAGTCTAACTAGCAATGGGCCTGTTATTTCTTGGAGATCAAAGAAACAGCAAACAGTAGCTTTGTCGACATGTGAGGCAGAGTACATGGCACTGGCTGCCACAGCACAAGAGAGTTTGTATCTTGTGCAGCTAATAGAGAGCATGGATAGTGAGGGTCAATATACTCCTGTGAAAATCTTTGAAGATAACCAGGGTGCAATTGCTCTATCCAAGAACCCAGTATATCGTCAACGATGTAAACATGTGGATATCAAGTATCATTTTGTTCGAACTGTACTGAGTGATAACATGATAACCATTGACTATTGCCCTACAGCTGATATGGTTGCTGATATTTTCACTAAGCCTGCAACAAAGGTCAAAAGTGAGACATTTGTAAAGTATTTGTTTGGAATGTAAATAACCCCAGAAGTTTCAAACACTGTGTTATTGTGCAGGTGTATAAGGTGTTTACATTTCAATTCATGTTGAGAAATTGTGCAGTATAAGAGTAAGTGGGGGTGTTGAATTATGAAATGTAATATATGAATTTGTTTATTTAATACTCTTATACTAATCACTTCCTGTATTCCCGTGATAAAAGGGACATGCGCAATAAAACGTGTCACTTCCGGTTGAAGCAAAGCTGATGGTGTATGTGTGTATTTATTCCTCTGTCACGTTAAACTATGTTCACGGTATTCCTGCCCTAAGATCATGGCATCGCTATATCGTTGCTGTATCACAGATAAAAGAAGTGGACGAGCCCCCATCTGTCATGGCCTGGCTCTTGGCCGTAACAAAAAGCGTGGGAAGGACAAGAACATATATGAAAAATATATTTATTAACAAAAGTTTAACGTAAACCAAAAAAACTAACACAAAGGAAAAGCAAAAAGACGAAGCGACGTGGCTGCTCCGAGGTCAGGTCCTCTGCGGGGGAGAGAGATTGCGGGTCTCACTCAGGCCCTTTAACCCTCTGGTACCGGCCACCAGGTGTCCTCAATCCCAGCTGATAGACCAAAGGGAGAACCTTAAAGGAACACACACACACACACACAAGAGATAACAAGGCAGGGGCAAGGGCGCCGGAAGTGGGGGGGCCAGGGGGCCATTGGCCCCCCCACTTTTGAGCCCTGCCCTACATTTTTGCAGCGGCAGATGCCGCGGAACATTGTACAAATCCCGTTTCAATAATTCCCCTCTACTCTAAAGTCGCATCTAAAACGCGATCTGATCTAGCTGTGTATATTTTGTTATTTTTTATTGTTATATTCAATCTCATTAGCTACAGGCATTTTTTAAGCTTGTAAAGGGAAGATGACAGCTCTCACTCGCCACTCTGCTGTTCCACAGCGCCGCTTCCCCTCCCTCTGCTGAAATTATGAATGTAAGGCGTATAGTAATCATATATAACACGGCAGGGTCCGTTACAGTTTGTTTGTATCTGATTTCAAATAAACAAAGTCTTGGCTTTCAGAATATTAAACTTGTCTCCATGCTTTAATGTTCAAAAAGCGCTTTATTTTTCTCATCCTGCCTGTGCTGCAGCACCTCTTTTCACCCTCTGTCTGAAACCAGAGCCCAGTCTGCTCCGCCCCTTAGCCTATACTGTACGATGTGTTGCAGCACTAGCCAATAGAAACCTAGTGTTATGTTACCGAAGTAAACAAAGTAGTCCAGCTGTTTCAGGTAGAGGGGGAGAGAGAGTGTGGGAGAGAAATTCCCTCTGGAGGGAACACAGGGATTTTAGCCTTTGCAGACAATTTACATGCACTCAAACGTATAACACACGACAGGAAAGGGAACACCCCAAAAAGCATGATAGGGCCTCTTTAAATGTACTCCAATGTCCCCCTCTTCCTCGTTTTATCATTATAGACAGCCAGGTGCCTAGTCGTTGAGGATGAACCCCCACTCAATTTCTGGCTCATCGTCGAGTCGCCACACGAGGAAGGACACCAGCTGGAACATGTTCTGCCACGCGCCCAGGAAGACGTACAGGTAAAAGTCACTGACATCAATTTGGCAGTGTATCCCTACGTGATCCATATCACACACGCACTCAAAACCGTTCATGTAATTCACGCAGAAGCCGCCGTACATGCATGGGCTTGAGACACATTCATCCACGTCCTTCTCACACCTGGAAGGAAACATGAGGACAAAGGGGTATTAGAGCAGAAACTAGAAAAAGTACCATGTGATGATAACTCTTTAAAGTTGTCCCAAAGGAACTGATCAACTGAGCTTTCATCTGCCACAAGGGGGCTCTGTCTTCAAACCCAAGTGTTGGTGCAACATTCACCAAGTGGTGAAAGTGCTGAAAATAATTGAGTCATAAAAGAGCTATAATAATTTAAACAATAAAGACACAAGGAAGGAACGAAATATTTATGAAGTAAAAGTATATATATATATATATATATTGTTTTACTTTATACTTCCACATATTTATTTACCTAATTATATTTCTATCTATTTGTCTTTACATTTCCGCATTTAAATTGACTTTGGATTATCCGTATTTTTATTTCCACATGTTTTTCTTATTTTTATAGATTTATTATTTTCTTATGGAACCCCTATAGACAAAACAATGTTCATTAAAGGTCACAAGATTCTCACGTGAGGTTTCATTTGCACTTTTAATTTAATTCTATATTTTTTTTATCAAAACAAAATGTTAATATAAAACATCCGCCAATCCATTGACAACATGATGGGCCAAGAGGTGCAGTCACCCAAGGGTGAGACACCCGTGATGACAACACACGAGGAGGAAAGAGGATGAGAGATCATAATGTATGTCTTACCACTGTCCTACGAAACCAGGCGTACAGTGACAGCTGTCCTCTTCAGAGCAGTTCCCTCCATTAAAGCAGTTGTAGTCCCATATTGTACCAGCGCATGTAGATACAGGTAAATGGGGACTTCTTTATAAAGAGCACAATAGCAAATGTCAATGTCCTTCACTTTTAATGTTCCCCACAAAACCTCTGAAGCCTCATTTAGCCACTTGTTAGCAACCCCCCTCTTTTTAGACAGTTAAAAAATTCAACATTTAACAAGACTGACTTATTTTTAGTCGTAGAACAAAACGATTAGCTTTAGAGCCGAGAGCTAGTTTTAACTACATACCTTATATCAGGAATCTTAACAAATCAACATTGACTTCATAAACTCATTTCCAGGTTTTAGGACTCATTCCTGCAGCACTATATATTTACTATGTTTTGTTAAATAAAACGGAAATGTTTTACATAAAAGCACTTACGGATGAGTCTCAATGTACCATGGGATTTCCGGAATGTTCTCGCTGTAAGAAACCAGTTTGTTTATTATTAGCGATAAAAAAAGTACTTTCATTCTTTACTTAAGTACAAATACAATGGTTTTATAATACTCCATTACAAGTAAAAGTCCTTAATAAAAATGTACTAAATTAGAAGTTGAATTATCAGTTTAGCAGTACTATAGTATTTAGAGAATATTCATTTTCCAAGTTGAGCCAATTTGAGCTACTTTAAAAAAAAAAAAACGTCATATCATGTATGTAAAAATGTGCTAGCAATTTGAGTGTTGTATACATGTGGTGGTGTGAAAAGTACAATATTTGCCTCCAAATTGTAGTTGAGTTCAAGTAAATGTAGTAAAAAAAAAAATACTCAAATAAGAAACAAGTACACCAATGTCGAAATAGTGCTTTAGTACGATACTTGAGTAAATGTGCTTTGCTCATCCCACCACTGAAAATAAATACAACTCATTACTCACACAGGTATGTTCCTTATAAACTGCGAAAGAACTCACTTGCAGTATTCACCCGTCAAACCCAGAGGGCAGAGGCACCCGTAGCTCCGGAAACCTTTGAGGCACGTGGCGCCTTCGCTGCAATTGCTGTTTTCACACATATCAGCTTCCAGGTCACACTGTTTGCCGCTGTACCACACCTCACACACACACTCGAACCCCTCCGTAAGGTTGATGCAGTGTCCGTTAATGCAGGGGCTGGAGATGCAGGAGTCTGCTTGCTTTTCACACAGTGGACCCGTCCACTTGGAGGGACATATGCAGTGGTGCAGGTCAAACAGGTCCTCACACACACCGTCATTGTTACAGGGGTTGGGTGCACACACTCTAGCTCCCCAGCAGCCGTAATTTGGGGCAACACCAGGGGTTATCATCGCAAATTGCTCCTCCTGAGGTCTCGGGACGTTGAACTCTGTGTCCAGGTGGAAAGGCAGAAGAAGGCCTCCGATCTCCACAAGACCCAGGCAGCCAGACATGTTCACCCCAGCCTCAGAGCTTAACCCTCCTAGGAAGATATATGCTCCCTCCCTAAGAAAATCCAGGTCCCCAGGTGCTGTTCTGGACATGCTAACCTCAGTCTTGCCTCCATCAACAACCATGATCCATCTTGACGTTGGGAGGGTCTGGTTCTCCAGGCTGATCTCCACAGTGTGCCACTCTCCATCACTGATCGGACCCTCGCTTCGTACGGTCACCTTGTTGGAGTCTTTTGCCCCAGCCTGGAGCTCCATGACCACATGAAAGTTCAGGAGGGAGATGGTGACCTGGTCTGAGTCCTTATGTGCATTCAGTAAGGTGGCAGCGGACTGTCTTGTGCGGAAGCTGATGGAGAAACTGTCGAGGTTGCGCTTAATCTTCCCATTGCTCCGGTATTGCAAAACACTGCTTTCAACCCGGAATGTCACGTTAGACAAACCTGAGGGGGAGAAATGAAAGTAATTTAAATTAACTGATGTTTAGTTTACACATTGTATTTCATAATAATAATACTTCATAATTGCTGGTCACTCATTTGTTTCAAAGAGATCATAGTAAATGATATATATTATAGTATAATTCCAATTGTTGTAATACATTGTAATCACCGTTATGATGCATTAATGTGATTATATAAATGACCACATATAACTTCTAATCACATTTTAATGCATTGTTACAGTAATTAACAATGATGTAATAGTATGATACTTGACTCTTTATGTAATTCAAAAATGCTTTACATTTGTATTTATTTATTATAAAGCATTATTACCAATCATATTGACATGTTTGAGTGCCCGAAAGATAACAAAGCTGGCTCAGTATACTCTTTATCTGTCCTGAAGAACATTATCAAAACTATAATTATTTATTTATTTGATTATTTATTTATTTAGTCATATTTTATACATTTATGCAGGAGTTATTTGAATTTATCTTACAAAATAAATATAAAAAAAGCCAAAATAAACCTATTGTCAGTTGTCTTTCAAAGTGCACAACAGACAAAACATTAAACAGCCACCTTATTGTGTCATCTAATGGCACATCAGGCAATCCTCTAACAAACAGAGGAAAAAGACTTCCAAAAGCTGAAAATTGGCCATTATTTGCAGAAAAGGGAGAAAACGTCAAATATGTGTGCAGTAAAAAACACTTAATGGATCGGCTTTGATGGGGTGGCTTTACAGCTGTATACCACCTCCTTTTCTCTTTGTGTTAACATGTGACACCTCCAGGAAGACTTATCATCATGAACCTCCGCAGGTATGTGGCGGCAGACATAATCTGACCGGGGATTACCGGGTTTTAGAGGAATCCTATGCAACATCCCTGTCTCAACTCTGTTCCCTTCTGAACTCAGCCACTGTGTAATTAATCAGCACCAGCGAGACCACACACTGCAGATGCCCAGTACCATTGAAATTGGCAAGAACATTTTTTTGAATGCTTTTTCTTGGCGATGTCCTTATACATTCAGTTGGCTGTATACACTTTACTATCCCTAGCATAGATCTCATTCCTTGGCAAAAGCGAAAGACTCTGAGACCTTATTATCCCATGCATTTTAAGGGCAATGGTATTTATAAGACAGGAATAGCAAGACTTTAGGATCTCAACTCAGGTCACTTACACTCAAAGCCCTGAGAGCGGGGTTGACAAACAGCAGGGAAGGAGCAGGGTAACAGCTCGCACCATTTGACCTCCTCACAGCCCCGCCCCGCAGTGTTAGGCGGACAGTTGCAGATGAAGTCGTCCCACATGGAGTAACACACTCCTCCGTTGAGACAGGGGTTGACCTAATGGAGAGAAAACAACCCAAATAAATCACGTTGTAAAAATCAGTAAAGAATGAGAATTGAGCCTTATCTCACTAAAGACGTAGCAGTATTGGTATCACTCACAGCACAGGCATTGTCACTGCTGCATCCTTGTGCAACGTTGACAAGTTGCTCCAGGATGTAAGATTCCACTGGAGTTTCAATGGGATAGAACTGAAGTCGCTTGTTGTTAATCCTTAGATCCTGGACGCATCCCTTAAAGTAGCGACCAAAGGAAGCTGAGACCCTTGGGTCTGGAAGCCCCCCAACGAAAACCAGATCCCCAGTATGAGCATCGATAGGCCTGATGAACATATGGCCCTGGACCTGGGTCGACTGGAACAACATGGCGGCCATTCCTTTCAGCATCACAGTCACCAGATGAAAATGTCCGTCACTGATCGCAGTCCGACCAACGAGGGTCTCAAAGTTGTTGACCTGAACTTTGATCCTTCCTTCTTCCAACCACAGGCGGAGGTACTGGCTGGTGCTGTTGGCCAGGATGAGGAGCAGGCCGCTGGACTGTCTGGTGCGAAGGAACAGGGATATGTTCACAGAGTCACCTGGCTCGTCATCCAATGAGAAAGAAGCATAATTCTCCACGTCTTGGTTGCCAAACCTTGCTGTGACATACTCTGCATGGGTACAAGGAAGAGAGATGGAAGATGGAAGAGAGAGAAAAGGGCGTGAAAGCCAAACTTAAACCATACCATTTTGGACAATATGCCTATTTGCTTTCTTTAGACAGGTCACATAAGAGGATTGATGCCACAAAATGTTATTCCATGTTTTGACCATAGACTGTAAAGAAGTGGGCGTAGTCCCTTCGGCGTCAACTATTGGTTTTTATGGACTATCGTTTACAAGTTTGGCACATTAGCTGTCACCATCTTGTTTTTTTGAGGGAAGAAAACTTAAAACCATAAACTCATAAGTAAAATGTTTACTGAGGTAGGTAATACAACAAGAGAGAGGATATGGTCATTTTCTAAAACCAGTGGAGCTGGTGGTCAGAAATAATACAGATTTAAGGCTTCTAATTCGTTTCCACATCGGTTTTTACTTTTTAGAACTGGACACTTGGTTTTGAAAAATGGGTAACATTTGACTATTCCTAGTTTTGACAAGTGCCCTACGTTCATGGAAAAGGAAACTGCTGAAGAAACTAACCAATGCAAATGCCTCAGCATGGTACGTTTCAATAAGACTCACTGATTTGTCCAAGTTAAGTCCAGTCAGGTGAGCAACTGAAACCCACGTTTCTTTAATCCTCTGCCCAGGTGTGTGGCTGAGCACGGGGCTATTTCTACTGGCACTGTAAGCTCCTTTACAGTCTAATGACTAATTTTAATCTCCTGCTGGGTGGCTCCCCACACAGTTAACCTTTGAGATGTATTGCACTGACGTTGAACTTGATTTGACCTGTAAAGGTTGTGGATTAAAAACCCTAATCAATAAATAGCAAAATGAACAATTCAAAGTATTTATTGTGCAGAAAAATGTTCCCTGTCAGTGTTTTCCGTTTCTATATTATGGCTTTCATTGATTAATTTTACTGTTGTAAATTATTAATTAAAATGTTTATTTCAATATTTTAATTATATTTGATTTATCTTTTGTTGGACATTTAACTTTTACGTCTTCTTTTTAAATACTTTTATTTTATTATAATTTTATTGCACATTCTTACCTTTACCAATCAATTTATATTTCATACTAAAATGACCAACTGTCACAAACAAAGTCTCCCGAGGGATAAATAAAGTATTCTGATTCTGGCTAAGGCTGCGCTCATTGTAACTCCTCCTACAGTCGTGTAGTTGAATATACATCAGCAACATATAATATTCCATAACATCATTATGGTTGTTTCTTTGCATCTATCCTGTGAGAACAACGCATATATACAAAGTGAACATTTCCTACATTTCTCAGAAAACCAGCTACATTTGAGCTGATCCAAGAAGCTTTTAAAAGAGTTTATTTAGCTTAAGGCGTAGAGCTATTTTTCTCAAATGGAACACTACATCCTTCCAGTTATCACCAACATTAAAAATCCACAAACGACAGGAAGGGGGTTAAAAAATTGTAATCCAAAAAACGTAACTAAAGCTGTCAGATAAATGTAGTTTATCCTCTGAGAGAGTAGAAGTATGATACACAAATGGTATCGGATATTTGTATTAAAGATCCCATGTCATGGCCATTTCTACTGATCAGAATTCCATTGTTGAGGTATACTAGAATAGATTTACATTGTTCAATGTTCCAAAATCACATTGGTTTTCTCATACAGCATCTCTGTATAGTATGTGTATTCACTCTCTGTCCTACACGCCTTGTTGGAGCTCCTGCCCCCCCCCCCCCCCCTCCCTGTGAGCCCACTGTGCTCTGATGTGTGTTTATGTGTTACAATGGCGTTTGTTAGCAACCAGAAAATGACACCAGTAATGACAAACAGATGAGAATGCTGCGTGGGGTCTGGGTGTCGTGTTGGCGGGACGTTGCGGGGCTCGCTGCTCCGCCCTTTGAGACTCGAGGAGCCGACAGTGTGAGCTGGATTACTGGTGTCGTTTCCTGGTTGCTGCGTGGGGTCTGCGAGACAGCGAGACACGGCGAAACTCAGCCTGAACTCAGCCTGAGCACACACATGTGAGTGTGTGTCGAACTGTGAGTGGACATCCACGCAGCTGCGGCTGAGAAAAGATAAGGCTGAGTGTGCCGGCGAAACTCCGCCGAGTATCGCGGATTCGCGGCTGAGAAAAGATAAGGCTGAGTGAGTGTGTGTGTGTGTGTGTGTGAGGAGCTCAACGGATTGGTCCATTTGGTCGTCGTTACATCACTTGGTACCGGGAAGAAAAAAGAAAATCTCCAACGAGGCGTTCTGGGGCAGCATAGACAGGTCTTTTCTGTGTTAGAGTTTTACTCGCTACAGGGTGTACTTTGAGGGTTTGTGACTTTGCAGACCGCTTACATGCAAAAAAAGCTACATAACACACAAGGGGACGGGTAATAACCGGAAAAGCATGACATGGGACCTTTAAAGTGCAGTCCTTGAGGAAATGTACTCAGTTAGATTCCTCTGTGTGTCTTACCCTCTGCACAGTCGTCCCCCTCATAGGGCCTGAAGCACTCACAGGTGTAGCTCCTCCACCCCTGGCTCACGCAGCGCCCTCTGATCTGACACGGGCTGTCATCGCACCTGTCTCTGTCGCTGCACCCCTCACTGACGTTTACCTGGGCGTCTGAACCATCTGGCACTGCAGACGGCAACACCAGACGTGAGTCCACAAGCACATCTCTGAAGCATCCCAGAAAAGCAGGCGGGTGGTCTTCTTCATCGCCTCCTCCGCCTGAACTCCAGTTCCCTCTGACTGCTCCGATGAAGAGGCTGTGACGGACTGACCCTGGCTCGGGGAGAGCAGGCGCTGGCTCCAGCAGCTGGACCTCAGAGGCCCTGGTGCAGCTTTCTTCAGTGTAGAGCAGCTGGATCATGCTGACCGCACCACCCAATGATGCTTCAACCGTGTACCACTTGTTGTTGGACAAATACTCCGGTAGCTCCTGAACCAGAGTGCTGGAGCCTTGACCCTCGAGACTACGGAGGCCAAGATGTCCATCCGTTAGCTCAATGCTGAGGAGAAGGTCGTCCACTCTGCGCTGCAGCAGGGTGCCGTAGGGTCTCTCCGTCCTGAAGCTGAATGTCACATTTAGGGGAGCTTCTGGGTCAAGAAGCTGAGTCTCTACGTAAATGTATCCTTTGGTCTCGAATGAGAAGACGCTGGGGGTCTGGCATTTAGGGCCCGTAAAGCCAGCAAGGCAGATACACGTGTAGGTGTGCTCACCATGGACAAGTAAAGGCGAGCACATTCCTCTGTTCTCACACTGGTTGTCATCACAGCCTGAAAGTGCGGTTGTGCAGTTTTCTCCCCCGTACAGGCGCCCGTTCTGGCTCTGTTGGGAGCAAAGGCACCTGAAAGCGCCATCGTGGCTCTCACACAGACCACCGTTTTGGCATGGCTGATTTTCACAACTGCTGAGGTCGTCTTCGGAGAAAGTGCCTGGAGGGACAGATGAAAATGAGTTCTTAAAAATCATTCAAAGAATACATCTCCCTGAGATTACCATTTGTATCTACATTCCTCACCCAGTGTTTCCAAAAATTATTAAATCAAATACTGTTCCATGCCTCCATATTGAACCAAGGACAATAATGGATAATGGAGAAATGTCTTGATGATTTGAAGTTAATGGGATTTGTGTTTAACACTTTCACATAAACAGTTTAATACTAACGCAGGTACGCTACTTGTGCCAAAGTGATTAAATAGTGCAGTTTTATTGATAATCGATGTGATTGTGAAGTACTGAGCAATGAACTACTGGATAAATGACACTAGGATAACACTGCAAAAGCTGTGTGAGAGTTTGTAAACAACTGTTTTGATATAGTGTTGCTGCCCCCATTTACTTCCATTCATTAAGACCTTGCTCAGTTTTATATTTCTTGGTTCACTGTGGAGGCATGCGAGGGAAACCAAGTTTTCTTCAAGAATTCAAGGTAACAAATGGTGAGGTGATATACACATGGTCAGTTTGGGGCTGAAGTATTCCTTGAAAGAATTGGACTGCATGGTTGTTTTAAACATGAGAGTCAATAAGATTAGCACACATTGACAAATCTGTGTGTAAAGATAAAGCACCTACAGAATGAAGATTAGAAACCACAAAAACAATGAAATACCCCAAATAACTGTTTAATTTGAAGTTGGAATACATTTCAAATGTAATTAATTTAGTGTGTGTAGTGTGTTTTCCAACAGACTTAATGGTATTTCCAAACATGATCATGATGAGGTAAGATAAGTGATGAATTTGGCTACATTTGCTTTAAAGTGGACCTATCATGCTATATTATAATAATATAATGTAGGACCATACCTATATAAGGCATATTTATACTTTTTTTTTTTCAAAATACCAAACAGATCATGCATTTTAGCCATGCCTCATTTCGCTCAAATTGCACTTTTTTACCCCTGTTTTTGCAAGGGCTGATTCTGTGAGAACAGCACCACCTACAGGCCTGGCATATGTACTCCAGCGCTTTCGAACGGCAATGGCCTGGATCAGTTTTTATCAGATCCGTTGCAGTCCCTTTTTTAGAGATTTGGGTATGGAGGAAAATAGAGAGGGTTGTGTTTTCTGACACTTGGTGAGTTCCCTGGAACACCTGGGACACATATTCATGTATAAAAGACGTACAAAAGTGCATTTTGCATGATACAGTAGGTCCCCTTTAAATAAATATCATTATTATTTGTATTATTTGCTTTAATATTTTGTTTTCTTTTTGTTATTACTCTTCATGGTCTGTTTTCTTTTGTCATTTAAAATACCTTTTTTATTGTTTAATTGGATTGTCAATTTACAATAGTTTGAATGTGTTGCATTTGCATTTCAATTATGTTATACATTTTCATGAAGCACTCTGAGCTTTATCTCTTGCTCTGTAAATAAAGGTTGTAATTATAATTATTTTATGTTTTTTTGTTATCACTAACTTCCCTTGCGTAGATGAAAATCTAAAAATACAGGCTAATTACCCTTTTTCAACAACATACCTTTAGTTTTATCAACCCAAATATATTAAAAACATTCTTCAAATAATTGTAATCTCATTTAGCAAAATACACTTTATCCAAATATTACCTGCAAAAAGCAACCATAATGTCCACACATGCACGCTGAATCTCCACATTGTCCTCAACAAGTGCTCCGATAGACTTGGTCAGGATCTTCCTCTCAGGTCAGAGGCAGTGAGCAGCTCCATCTTCAGCCTGCTCCTCTCGGTGTCTTCTGAAATGCCTCGAGCGTTGTAACACACAGCGGAGGGATTAGGCTAATGCACTTACAATGTCTTATACATTAAATTAGTTTGGAGGGATTCACTCAGGAAGCTAATTTGAGCAACCTCAACAATCCTCCCTAGAAAGAAGTCTGATGTTCACTTATATAAGTGTCTGCTGGTCACAACAATGGGATTAAAGAGGTGGTAAACCTGACCTGAGAAGTAGCTTGACCTTAAATCCAGTTTCACTTTATTACAGCCTCAGTGATATGGAGGAGGAAATATTCCCACAATTCAGCTAAGAATACACACACTTAAAGGTGGGGTAGGTAAGTTTGAGAAACCGGCTCGAGATACACTTTTTGTTATATTCCATGGAATGCTCTTAACATCCCGATAGCAATGAATATCTTAAGTGCTTTGACAAAAAATCCATAAAAAAATGTCATCTGTGGAAGCCGTAGCACTGTAAAAAGCACGACCAATCATTTTAGCCGGCCCGGCTAAAATAACTGGATGGCCTACCTGCCTGTCAGCCTTCCATCTGTGCACAGACTTATCTCGTGCCCTCATTGGTCATGTGCGCGTTCGTGTGTGTTGGAGGAGGGGCTCTGTAAGGAAGTGGCAGATTTTTTCCGGCTGTGTATTTTCAAATTCTAGCGATCTCGAGCTGGTTTCTCCAAAATGACCTACCCCACCTTTAACCATGGAGATAATAAACATTAAAAGCAAATGCAAACACGTGTACTACACACTGTGTCCTCTGTTGAGTATTTGGCTGCAGCATGTGGTTGGAGCAAGGCAAAGTCTTTGAAAGAAGTCATGTTCTTATCTGTGATGGTTCTCCGTTATTAAAACGTCATTGAGGTCATTGTCATTTATCTAAATGGACCGAAGAGCGTTCAATTGGCTAATACTGTTCTTTGTAGTGTTACTTGTTTTGCAGTCACTCTTGATTTTACAGTATATTAGGACTTGGACATGGATCCAATATGTAAAATAAAAACTGTGAAATAAAGTGCAAATGTTTCATAATATTAGAACATACGTTTATTAGGAATTGTGTGTGTGTGCCTGAAAAATGTGCAATGTATTTGCACACATATTAATAGACTCATATGATAAACCTTAGGTAAAGTAAGTGGTTGAATTATAAATTAAAATGTTTTTCTTAAAGGTAAGTCAAATGTAAATACTTAAAAAAAACAAACACACAATTAATCCTGCAAGACAAAGTTTAGTTAAAGTGTAAAAGTAAAAGTAGCCTTCTCACTAAACAGCAACAATGGCTCTGTCAGTGTTAAAATATATTCGAATATCATTAGTGATGCCTTAACATATCATTCTATGAGTAATATCACAATAAAATATGTCGTGGCTTCCTTCCTTGTCTTTCCATCAAGCCACTAGACGCCTTAAACAGACAGTTCTAACTCGTTTCTTTCCTATTAAATGACTCACAGTTTGAAGAGTTGCTTGGCCTCCGATGGTTAGATGATGTTGCGATGTGTTTGCTCAAAATAAAATAACAAACTTTTGCACATGCAACAAAGCAAATAGGCCTTTACAATATTCAAAAGAAATAGGCAAAACTCAAATAAAATAACAAACAACTTAGGTATTCTTTCTTTCTTGATAATGCTTATAACTTCATAACTTAAAGGGTACTTGTACGATTTGTATGTATGTGTACGTGTACGGTTAAAAACTGTTCCTCGACGGCGTCTCTCAACAGGTTGCCCATCACTGTGGCTTTAGCCCAGGCACCGTGGGAAATGTAGTCCTTTATAGTGCGTTGACTACAGACGTCACAATTAGGTGGCCTTTCTTATAAAATCAAAATACTGGCTCTAACATACCGGCCCCTATTGTTATGGACATCTTTAATAACAATAAACAAAAATGTAAAAAGAGCCAGACAAAGTCAGTCTTCATATTCTATTTGAGATAGACAGGGTGTCTTAATTGTCCATCTTCAGTTATTTCCTTATTCTAAGGCAGGCACCAGTAGGCATATTTTGCTTATTGGTCTTTCCAGCATGTTGGTTTTTGTCTTAAGAAGAACACTCCGAATCAGTCCTCCAGATCCACAACGCGTCTCCATAACTCTTGCCATTAACCAGGATCCACGAGGTGCATTTGAATCCATGATTATTACGATGTCTCCAGGTTTGAAGTTCCTTTTAATGCGATTCCATTGCTGTCTTTCTTGCAAAAGTGGTAGATATTCTTTGATCCATCTGGTCCAAAACAAATTTGCTATGTACTGCACTTGTCGCCAGCGGCGTCTTGAGTATGTATCTTGCTGATGGAATAAGCCTGGGGGCAACGAAGGTTTGACCTTGAGCTGCAGCAAATGGTTTGGTGTGAGAGGTTCCAAGTCATTTGGATCATTTGACACTAGTTATTGGTCGGCTGTTGAGAATTCCTTCAACTTCACACAGAACTGTTGAAAGGCTTTCGTCATCAAGTGTTTGTTGTTTTGTGATGGACAGCAGAATTTTCTTTACAAGCCGGATTAGTCTTTCCCATACTCCGCCATGATGTGCTCCGTAAGGAGGATTGAAGGTCCATTTCACATCCTTTTGCTGGAGGGCTTGTTCTATTTTGCTCAGATTCCACTCTTTTATAGATTCCTTCAGCTCTCTTTCAGTGGCAACGAAATTAGTCCCATTGTCTGACCTCATCTCCAATACTTGTCCTCTTCTGCTGATGAAACGTCTGCAGGCATTAATGCATGAATCTGTATCTAACGAATGAGCTACTTCCAAGTGCACCGCTCTGGTTGTTAGACAGGTAAAGATAACTCCATATCGTTTCACAATGCTTCGTCCTCTTTTCACTTCCAGTGGGCCAAAGTAATCCACTCCAACATATGTGAATGGTGGTAGGTCTGGTGTAATTCTGTCTTTTGGCAGATCTGACATTTTTTGTTCTCCTGCATTTCCATGCATGCGTCTGCACACAGTACATTCAGATATTATTTGTCTGGCTAATGCATTGGCACATGGTATCCAGTATTTTTGTCTTAACCTGGATAACATATGATTCCTTCCACTGTGACCAACTTGTTGATGAATATCTCGAAGTATGGTTTTAGAGACATGGTGGTGTTTTCCAAGAATGGTTGGGTGCTTTGCTTCCTCAGGCATTGCCATTTTATTTAGCCTTCCTCCAACCTTTACCAGTTCATTCTCGTACACTGGATCCAATTTATACAGTGTACTACTTCCTTTGATAGGTTTTCCCCTTTTCAAAGTTTCCACTTCCTCTGGAAAAGACTGTTTTTGACAGAAACACAACACTGCTGCTTCAGCCTTATCCAAGTTATCCTTAGAGAGTGTGAGACCTCTCATAGAGTCTTTAAACACTCTCATCTCCTTCTCAATCAACTTTATTCGATTTGGTTCTTGTGCTTGAGTAGAAGTAAGCACTTCCTTCCTCTTCTTACTTAAAAGCAGCAAGAGATGTTTTACTTGAAGGAACCATGCAACTGCTCTTTTCAGTTTCCTCCAATCAGAGTAGTGATGCACTAGCTTGCCTGTGCCATTTAGGTCAGTTGCAATGGTTGGGTTCACATTAGGGATGTCCCGATCACCTTTTTTTGCTCCCGATCCGATTCCGATCATTTGATTTTGACAATCTGCCGATACCGATTTTTCCCGATCCGATCTTTATGCAATGCATTAAGAGAAAAAAAAGGAGAAAAGCATTCAAGTTGTCCCTTAAACCCCACGTTCTCCACCACAGATAACGGCTGGTCATCCAACGCGATGAATTCAG